AGAAGGCTCTATGTAGGCTCTTGGAGGAGAACATGTATCGGTGGGCTCATTCTGCTGTAAGTCATGCTTGCTATACAATACTGACCTGTCAGGCACTATATACTCACTGAGACAATAGTGGCCAGACTGTATGGTGGGTAACCAGCCACTCTATGATTGGAAGCCTACTGCATGACAGGAGATACACATCTGGTACCATAAACCTGGTCAAAATCCTGTGGCTGGTAGGATCGTGGATCTAATAAGAACACAAGGCTGTGTTTCCCTAAATGGACATGTTGTCTAATTTAAATATTTATGTTTGTATCCATGGACTGGTGTTGCTCTCAGTCTAGAACAGAAAAGCTTTTTCCGGGGTGACTGTTAGTGAGAGACTCCTATCTCATCAAATGCTGAGAAGTGACTGCTGCGCTCTCAGCTTTAAGTGGGACATCTTCATCACACACACCCCAAGCCTACAGAACACTGAGAAGAGGGCATGGAGAGCCAAGGGATGGGGAGGGGTGCCATAAAATGCTGACACACAGATACAGCATGACTCTTAACATCACAAACACACAGAAGCGATGGATATTGGTGAAAGAGTGCACCTTCAACATTCCTCACTGATAGAGGATGTCCCATGAGACACTGTCCCTTCTGGAGGATATATTAACTGCCAGTTGCTGCAGAAGGGAGTGTTGTTTCCTTCCTGGGGGACCACTTGGCAAGAAGGAATTCAGGGGGAAAGCAATAATAAACATATACTTCATATATGTATGAAACTATGTTTTAAAAATATGCAACTAACCAAGTACTGTTAGTGGTGTTCTCAGAAAAGAACAGAAAGTGCAGTGTTCAGGACAGGTAATTTAAATGGACTGGCAACTATGGATTCATTTTATTGCTTTCTGTCTGTCTGTCTGTCTGTCTGTCTCTCTCTCTCTCTCTCTCTCGCTCTCTCTCTCTCTCTCTCTCTCTCTCTCTCTCTCTCTCTGTGTGTATTTGTATATGCATGTGTTTCTGTGCCACTGTGCATGCCTCTGGAGACCAAAGGACAACTTTGGGTGCCGTTCCTCAGAAGCCATTGATCTTTTTATGATAGAGGATCTGCAGCTTTCCCAGTAGGCCAGGCTGTCTGTCCAGTGAACCTTGGAGATCCACTCCCATATACCTCAGCAGCTGGGATTACAGGTGCAATCCACCATGCCTAGGGTTTTTACTTGCCCTTTCTTTTGCATAGTTAAGTAATAACAAGTTAAGGCTCTGTATGGTTTCATCTTACACAAAAGCATCTTTCTGGAAGTCCTTGTTCCTGGCTTTTTACTGTCCTTCAAGTGAGTGTTTTGAGGATACTGATTAGGTACAGGCCATGGTTGTGCCTACCTGTCTGCCTCTAGAGTTTACTAGAGCTTTGCTTCTGCAGAGTGGGTGAGATTGTTTCAGCTGTTCTGAACCTACTCAGTCACCTGCTGAGCCAGAACAAGTGAACCAGCTGATGGTACTTTGTGCAATTAGGTAAATATTCACCCAGTTTACAGAGATACTTACACAGGCTTCCTCTAGATAGTGTCTGTGTAACCAAAGATAGGTATGAGCTGGAAAGTAGGTTCAGGAAGTCTATTTTCTTGCAGGATTTTCTTAGCTTTGGAACACTCTCCTGCAGGCCCCAGGAGTCCCCAGGAAGCAAGGAAGGGGATAGTGAACTGAAAGATGCAGACTTGTTAGCACTCACTCATGCTTCAAATCCACAGGGCCAACTCAGCAGAGCTCTTGCTCTGTCCTGACCTGGGCATTGGTAACAGGTGGGAGTCTTCCGTAAAGACATCTATTTCTCAAGTGCTCTAAAATCTGAAATGTTTGGGTACCCACATGAGGCCATATGTAGAAAATTTCATACCTGATCTCACTGGAGAGGTGACAGTCCAAATGTAAATGTACTAAACTATAGCTTTACTATTGGACAGTGAGCTCATGTGCATACAAAATAGTGAATAACATGCTTACATATTGGTCCCATCCCCAAGCTATCACACTTTGTATAAAAGCATTGCAAAATCTGAAAGAATCTGAAACCTGAAACACATGCAAATGTTTCAGGGAGGGGAGACTCAACTTACAGCTACGTGACCTTGAAGGAACAACTTGACCTTGGCCTGCTTCACTGTGCCCCGCTTAGCACTTTTCCTTAAAAACTACGGAGCTGGGCTCAGTGAGCAGAAGCCCCGCCCACATGCTAGTGAGGGTGGAGAAAATAACTCTATTCTGTTTGCCATTGGGCAACTGTCAGGGAAGAGGTGATATGTGGGTAAAGACCCGAGAGAACCATAGGAATAAATGAAGAAGGAATAAATGGAGAAGGAATGTGTTAGGAAAAAGAAACTTGGGAAAGATAAGCTGAGGTGGTGGTGTGCTACGGTATTCGGGAGCAGCTAGAGTCTTGTGTGATGGGGTAGAGGAAGGGAGGAAGGGAGGAGGGGAGCCAGGGAGAATATGGGATGGCCAGTGGGCTAAGGACTTTAGGTTCTGTTATAAGATGTTAAATGGGGCAGGAGAGATGGCTCAGCGGTTAAGAGCACTGACTACTTTCCAGAAGACCCAGGTTCAATTCCCAGCACCCACGTGGCCATGCACAACTGTCTGTAACTCCAGTTCCAGGGAATCCAATACACTTACATACATGCAGGCAAAACAACAATGCACAAGAGAGAGAGAGAGAGAGAGAGAGAGAGAGAGAGAGAGAGAGAGAGAGTCAAGGAAAGTAAGAGGTAAGACCTCCCCACACCCCAGTTCCACCCCCAGTTAATAAAAAAGAAGAGAGTTTAGAAATAAGATGCTAAATGGGATTGACCCTCAGTGTTGCCTGTCAGGAGAATAGACCTTGGGAAGGTAAGGGTTTTGAAAGAGGAGCATGGGCTGCCTCAGCCACCCATATTGGTTCCAGGTACTGGTAGCTGGATTTAGGCTACAACAAGACCATGGACTCTCCAATCCTGGGAATCTGGATTTTCAAAGTAGGAGCACCCTGTGATCTAGGCAATTTGGGAGACATTTCTGAGCTGGCTTCATCACCGGAGGGTGCTGGTAGAATGAGATCATGGTGTAGAACCATGACGCACAGCCAGAGAGGGAGGGGCAGGAAGATGCTTAAGGAACCAGAAAGTCTGGTCTGGTGCCAGCATGGCCTCTCTTGGCTTTGTTTCTACATAGTGACAAGGTTAGAATATTGACCTCCTGGGAGAACAGCAAGGAACAAGTGATGCTAGTCTGTGGATAAAGGTGTCTGATAAACTAGACTCTAAGACTGGACTTATAGGAATCATGGCATTATCACCATTACGAAAAGACACCGACACGGAGGGACTCAAGGCTCAGAGCTTCCTTGACTCTAGACCCTGGAAGGGTGGCTGAGGTTCCACTGCCTGCTTTTAGTTAATGGGATAGAAGTGTGTCAGCTCTGAGGGCTCTGGAAGGCAGCTCGGAGAGACAGCTGCAAGGAGAAACTCCCTCCTAGCAGCTTCACCAGCCCTCCTCCTCCCTCCCTCTCTGGACTAGTTTCTTCCATGACTCACTTTCACAGTTAAGCCTCATGGAGATGGCACCTAAGCCCCAATTCCAGTCCCAAATCCTATGGGCTTTGGCTTCCTAAACCCAGGAGACATTTTAATCTTGAGGTTGCATCACTTGTTCACAGAGGATCCTAAGGGACAGGGTGACATCTCTCCCCAAGGAACTGTCTCTCCCTATCTGCCTGTGGCTGCTGACTGCATCCACCTTTCAAATGTCCAAACTCAGCAGCCTCAGTTCTCTTCTCTCAGCTGCTTTGCTTTACTATTTATTAACCCTAAGCTCTTGTAATTGCCCCTTTCTTATGCCCTTTATGCACCTTTCCTGGATTTCTGTAACCCTACTCCAGAACTTTGCTTTGAGTAGCTTCTTCCCTTTCTGACTCTCCTGTCCCCAGGCCTTGTGGACAATGATTGTCACCCATCAGCCTTGACTCATGGCTCCAATGCTGTTTGGTGTCATGTCAGTACTGAAGGTCAGCCTCAGCCTATGGAATAGGCTTGTTTCTAACCCTATCAACCAAGGTCTTGTCTTTTTATTTATTTATTTATTTATTTATTTATTTATTTATTTATTTCATGTCCATTCGCTCCAGACTGAGTGGATTACCTGGGAATCCACTGGGAATTAGGAAATATCAGGTAATGAACATGGCTAAAGTTTTCCCTTTTGTGAATCTATGTATAGTGGCCACTGACACTGCTGGGCACTTTGGAGCCACAGACACTGTCCTGAATTCTTTCCCTATGGCAGCACACTCACTAAACCTGTTAAAAAGCAGGGGTCCTGGCTCTGGTTTAGACAAGATGAAGCTGGTATTCAGATGGATTAAGATAACTTAGCCCGAATCCTGGGCTCCCTGTTCACATGTTTGTGCTTCTTGCTTCCCTGGATTCTGTTCCTCTGTTCCATAAGGGAAGTCTTTCCTGGCCCAAACACCTTTGCTAAGGCCCTTCATACACACTTCCCACATATGAGGCTTGCTTCCTGCACACGTCCGTCTTCCTCGCCACTTCTCCAATGTTACTACAAGAATGGTTGGGTCATCTTTGCTCTGCTGAGTCCCACCCAGAGAGGTTAAACATTCCCAATGGCACAGCAGTGGCATCTTCCTGCTAAGTTATTTCCCCAGAGGGGGCTGGACCTGGGCCAGAGCCTGACACCAAACATGCATTCCTGAGTACCTGCAATGGGATCTTGGGGCCTGACCCCAACTTGGCTTCTGTGGGCTACACCAGGACCCTGACAGCCAGGTGGGCTTCCTCATCCTATTCTGCTCATAGCCTTCGGTTCTGCAGACCTCACTTACCGCAACTGACTGGGAACCGACCACACTCCCAGGCCAGCCCAGAGTGCCATCTGCTACTTCAGGCAGATCTGTCTGTCAGGGTGGCCCTGGGAGGAATTGTCCTCAGGTTTCCCCACCTCATAAAGGTCAGCTCTGGCAGTCTTACCTAGATCCATTCATGTGGTCATACTCCCGCTTGACGTTGACCCTCACTGGTTGGTTGATCCACTCTTGCTGTGGTGGCAGGGGGTTGATTTTGTGGGGCTGCCCGTAGTCAGGACTCCCCGAAGCAGTCATGTCTGCCTTGGGGAGATGGGCTGCCGCTCCGTATGCTGAATCAAAGAGGGACTGGTCGTCACTCACCACCGACAGAGCCTCCTGCAAGCAGGGAGAAGAGACAAACTTCAGTATCACTTTTCACCCAGGGTAACAGAACCCCTACTCTAAGATGTACCAGTGACATGGGGCTGCCCAGTCATGAAGTCGAGGTATCAAGGACAGGCTTACCCCTGCCTAAGTTTAAGGAGTTCATTGTAGGTGACCCTGGAAGACAGGTGTCCAAACAGTGGAAAGGAAGGACCCTAGAAATAGGTGCACTTGTTGAGTGTGCAGGCTAGGAGTCTCGTAAAGGAGAATGGAGATGAGGAAGCTGAATGGATGGCACAGTGTTGGTTCTAGCTTCCAGACAGCAGTGTATTTTTCTAACTGTGTGGTGTAGTCAAGTTGCTGGGGGAGAAGAAAATGAGCATTTATTTCATAAGTGAGGCCATGGAGAGCCACCAGGGAGGTTGTCTAGGTCTGAAGCACACAAGGAAATCAGGGAAGCCAGAACTTCAGCTAGGTCAATTTCAATGTCCTCCTAGGTAAGTGAGAAAAGCCTTTTTGCTGAATTGATAGGTTATTAAATGGGCAATTCTGGTCCAAGTGTTTAGCAAGAACACAATGGGGTGCTTAGCACTGGCTGTTGGGTGCAAGTATGTCCTACAGGATCTTAGTGATGATGGTTCAGCCAAATAATTCAGGAGGAAGCTCAGTTATATAGAAGAGGCAGTCAGTGTAAGGTCTCTGTAAGAGACTGTGGTTTTCCAGTTCACACTGTTTCATCTCCTGATCCAGGTAAGGCTTTTGGTAGTGGGTTGAAAAAAAGCAACATTACTCTTTCCAAAGACTGTGTGCCACTCAAAGCATGGGGATAAGATCCTCCTCCTTTCCCCCAAATCACATCTGGCCACAGGGATCCAAGGTCATGGCCTGGAGTACAACATTGACCAGAGCCAAGTAAGGCACAAACAAAAGCTGATCATGTTCCAGAAGAAATGGTAGCAATCCATAATTATCTCATCATCTACACATTCTATCCCATGCAATCCATTTGTGAAAGACAGAATAATGTATGGCAAATAGTTATAGCAACATCAAGCACAGAGCAATACTCCAGAGGTACTAGCAATGACAACAATTAGTATTCAAATAAAGGCTCTGTTGTATTCTTCTCCTGTGCTGGATTCTGCTCCCTCTCAAATTCACATGTCAAAGCCTTAACCAACCCCCTTAGATTATAACTCTACTTGGGAGTAAGGCCTTTAAGGATCTGATAAAGTTGAAAAGACAATGTGAAGGTGGGCTCTAAACCCAATTGATTCTCTCATTATAAGAGATTTGGACACACGGAGACCCAAAGAATGGCTGTGTGTTGAGGGATGTAGGGAAAATGACTATACGCAAGCCAGAGCAAGAGGCCTCAGAGGAAGCTAGCCCTGCTGAAGCTCCGACCTTGGATTTCCAGTTTTCAGAACTGTGAGCAAATAAATTTATGTTGTTCAAGCCACTCAGCCTGTGGCATGTTGCTATGGCAACCCTGTCTTTACTTAAGGACAATAACAGATGATGAGACCTTTTTAAGCCTTGAGGTCTGTTCACTTTGCCTACATAAATCATATCTCTGCCTGGAATATGTTCTCTAAGACAAAAACCCCTGGTATGTCTGGTTGTCTTTCATTTAGACCTAAAGCATGCTGTTTTCACCTGATGCCCCTGTGTAATGTTCAGGGGAAGGCTGTGGCTCTGGCTACCATTTTGGTTATTAGATCTACTCTTCATTTCAGTTAAGGTTCATGTCCCGAACAAATTTAAACTGTTAGTATATAGCTCCAAGTTGAAAAAAAAATGTAAAGTTATGGCTTTGCAGAGGGCTGAGCATGAATCTTTGACATGATTTGGGTGTTACCCAAGATTCATCAGTCTCCTTTTTGACAATAAAAGTGCAGCCCAAGCCGCAGCTCTGTTGTAGGAAAAGATGGTATCTAAGCAGGTGTCTGCTGCAGAGAGACAACCTACACCCCTGGTTAATTGCTACTCAGTTTTGGGAATTCCCACAGAATCCTGGAGATCTGGGAAGCAGAAGCAGACATGGGGACGCTGTGTCAAAGAGCGGATGGTCCCTGTCACTATTACCATAAAAAGTGGGGGGAGGTCAAAAGCAGGAAAAGGCAGGATTGCTGAGTCCAAGGGGAAACACAGTGGTTCAACTAGGACACACAGCAAAGAGGTTGCACCAGGGAACAAATGGGGGAGTAAGGCTTAGGAGGCAGAACTTTCAGAGGTTTCTTAAGGAGGTGAGGTGTGTATTAAGAAGACACATATCAACGTATCATGGGGCAGGATGCAAGAGCAGAAAAGATATGAAATCAGAATACATTTTAGAATTAAACTTTTCTTAAAATGTGGCTCCAATTAAAGGTGACTTCAGTCAAGAGGCAATGTCGCAGGATGAGTGAGTGGCCTGATTCATCCTCAAACCCCCCATACTTCTGACCCTTGTATCCAGTCAGGTATATGTGCACAGGTCTGTCTTCCCTCACGGTGCTCTAACCCTCTTCTCTCCCCTGGGCCCCAGTGCCTATTCTCAGGCCAGATTCAATTCCTCAAAAGGCTGTGAATACAGCCTTTACACAAATATTCTTCCTCCAAGAACTCACTGTATTTCTACCATGGAAAAATCTACGCACAGTCACTTACTTTTCAAGAACTCAGCCTTGCCCTATCTGTCATACCAACTGTGACTCCTCACTACAGCCTCTGCATAGTTCAAGCCACTTTCATTGGGGTCTTTTTTTTTTTTTTTAACTCAGTGCAAACTTTCCTGAAAATGTCCTGAGTTTCTGGCGCTTTTAACATGCACAGACACACACACACACACACACACACACACACACAGACACACAGATACACAAGACACACAGATACACATACATCAGATACACATACATACAGATACACATACATACAAATACACAGGACACAGACACACACAGAGAGAGACACACAGAAGCATGCAGACATACAGATACATAAGACACAGACATACATACACAAACACACAGACACCCAGATACACAGACACCCAGATACATACACAGACACACAGACACCCAGATACACACCCAGACACACGTATGCAAACAAACACACAATTAAACAAACACAGACACACACAAATTCACGGTAATAGATACACACAGAGAGACACTCCATATACACATGTGTGCACACGCAGTTGGGGGACTGATTCTATTTACAATCATTAATAAATAAAGGTCTTTCTTCCCATAACAGTGAGGAGAACAGACTCTGTAGATGAATGAGGCTATGAAGAGAGAGAATAAAGGAAAAAGGTCTGTGTCTTGACTGGCTTTTGGACTGAATCTGAAAATCTGAAAGTTGCCAATAGCAATATAGTAAAACTTTTGGGGAGATGAGGTGCCAAACAAGTTGATTTAGGGCACACGTGAAAAATTACAGTTGTATAGGACATTCTTGCCATGTCTGCCAGGAAACAGCATCCCTTTGTCATTCAAGCCAGAGACCAGGCCCTGAGTGCCCTGCGACTTCCATGAGGCACAGTGGCAGCAAGGAGCCCTCTCCAAACTGCTTTGGAGAGAATTGGTATCAATGATGGAGACAGGAGAGTGGGAGAGTGCAAAGGAAGGGATTGGGGCTGGGTGATGGTAGCTGACCTTTGTGTCACCATTGGCGACTGACAGAAGTCACCATGGGGAATGAGATGTGGAAGCTGGTACCAAGGTGCGCCTGCAGCAAGCAGATGAGAGCCACTGTGCCAAGGGCATTTCCACTCTCCCTTGTATCTCGGCCTCATCAGCAGATGCTGCTGCTGACTGTGTGCTCTAGAAAGCTGTCCACTTGAGCTTTAAAGTTTTAATGTTTAAAGTCAGAACTCTTACTGGTACTTCAAACTCATTATAGGACTAAGCATTGTGCTGTGGTGAGATGCTGGTAACACCTGTCTTTGGTGCAGCAGACTGGATAGAAGAAGAGGATTGATGGGGCAGTTCACCACCATTCTTGGGGAGTACCATTCTTGGGGCAGTTCACCACAACTCTTGGGGAGTTTGCCACCATTCTTGGGGGAGCTCACCACCATCCTTAGGGGGTTTCACCATCATTCTTGGGGCAGTTCACCATTATTCTTGGGGCAATTCACCACCATTGTTGGGGGAGTTTACCACCATTCTTGGGGCAATTCACTACCATTCTTGGGGGGAGCTCACCACCATTCTTGGGGGAGTTCACCACCATTCTTGGGGGAACTCACCACCATTCTTAGGGCAATTCACCATTCCTGGGGGACCTCACCACCATTCTTGGGGCAATTCACCACCATTTTGGGGTGAGCTCACCACCTTTCTTGGGGCAATTCACCACCATTCTTGGGGAGCTCACCACCATTCTTGGGGGAGTTCACCACCTTTCTTGGGGGGAGATAATCCCCATTCTTGCATTTTAATGAGTTTGTTTCTCCTATGGACAGGTTATTCTTGACAAGGCCTGTTGGATCCGTGTTGCTTAAAAAGTGTGTTCCCTACCCTGTGTTATGCAGAGCTCCAAGATTTCTTATCACCCCCAACAGTGGTCCCTAGAAGGAAGCCCCAAACAGGCTCAGGAATTGGTTCCTTAGAAACAACTTTCCACCATATAGTCAGGATGGGCTCCTCCCTCAGCCCCAGAGCTGTAGACCCAGAAGGTGGCACCTGGTCCCTGCCCCAAGCTGTTAAGTGTTCTAGCACATTGGTAACCTGTGGTGCCCCTTCCCCTACAGTTCTTCCAGAGGAACTGCTTGCAGTTGCAGGCTGAGCTCTGAACCAAAGCAGTGGAGTGGCAGGTAACCTGCTTTTGCCCAGAGAAACTTCCTTCCCACAATCCTTGGTTGATCCAGGAAGTCAGCAGATGTATACCACCAAATGACTGATACATATGCCCTGATGAAGATTGTCTTCCTTACCTAGTATGGATAAGGTAAGCTTCCCCTATCACTTATAATAAACCATGTCTTAAATTATAGAAATAAATATAAAAGGCAG